TTCTTTAGTATTAATTTGGGTAGAGTACACTAAATTTTTAATATGACCCCATAAAAAAAATCAACAGGAGTTAGATCTGGCGATCTTGCAGGCCAAAGCCAAGGACCATTTGGACCTATCCATCGGTCTTCAAAGAGTGCTGTAATTTCTTGATTTACATAGTATGTTGAATGTGCTGGGGCACCATCCAACTGGTACCAAAAATTATTATTTGGTAGCTGGTTTAAAATGTCGGCAACTACTTCTCTAAGAATTCTAATGTATCTTTCTGAGGTCAGTCTTTCATTATAAATGTAATAAAAAGCTCTTCCAAAACCGATCACTGCGAACACATTAAAACTAAATTCGTACTGATATTGTGCTTCACGATCAAAATGTGGATTTTCGTTTGCCCAGAAATGACATTGCTTGCGATTGATGATCCCTTTACGTGTAAATTTCGACTCGTCTGACCACAAAATTTTGTTTAAAATCTCGGGATTTTCTTGAATTCGTACCAATAACCATTCGCATAATTCAGTTCGTCTTATTTGATCACCATCTCGCAACTCATGAACTTTTCTTTGTGCATAGGGATGCCATTTATTTAGTGCTAAAATTCGTTGCATTGACCCTTGACTAATATTTAAATTATCTTGAGCCATTCTAATGGAGGCGTGAGGATACGCAGTAAAATACCCTAATACGTTAATTAGATTAACTTCTTCATCTCGGACATAATGTTGACGGTTTCTTCCCGGGTTTTGTTTAAAATTATTCAAAAAGTTAGCTTCGATTCTATCAAATTTCTGTCTGTTCATTGGTGGTAAATGAGGGTATCGTTCATTAAACATGCGGCAGGTTCTACTTTTGATTCGATTACATTCTCCATGAATGTAAAATAAATTAATAATATCTTGGTTGGTATATTCTTCAATATTTTCCGTATTTTCCATATTTTGAACGCAAAAAATACACAACTTAAATACATAGAAATATGACAATTCAGTTTGTTGACAGATTGTTGTTTAGCATATTTCCACGGCATACTAAGATAAAAAATTAAAATGTAGAACTATACTATATTATGTAGGTGTATGCGTAAAATTTAAATTTAAATTTTCTTAAACTTGGCGAGAGATAATTATAGGGAATTAATAGTGCAAATGAAGATCAATGAAGAATAATTTTCTGAACAAAATGAAATAAAAATATACAGGATTTTCCATTTAAAATAAAAAAAATTTTCATGTTTAAAATATTTATTTTTTAAAATAATTTCCAAACACACAGTCGAACAAACGATGTACAAGTAAATTTAAAAAAGCAAATGTCTGCCGGCATATAAAAGTTTATAAAAAACTGAATAAAGCCAAATACACTATAATTAGAATAGGCGAATGGGGTATCATTGTTTACAGAATTTCATGCTGAATATAAAATTTAAAAAATATATAGGGTGTTCAATTTAAAATAAAAAAGTTTTTTATGTTTAAAAAATTTTATTTTTAAAAATAATTTGCAAATAATGAATAACTAAATATTCTCAAGAAGTACATCCCATCTACTACCTCTGGTTAAAATTTTAAGTATCTGATAGATACAGTACCTGAGATAGACGACTTTAAGAAAATGTCTACCGGCGACTAAAAATGTAGAAAAAAATTGAATAACGCCAAATCCGCTATAACTAGAATAGGCAAATGGGGTATCGTTGTTTACAGAATTTCATGCTAAATCTAAAATTAAAAAAAAATATGGGGCATTCCCTTTAAAATAACGAAGTTAGTGGTCACTTCCGGTATAACCGGAAGTTGCACAGAGTTCATTTTATTTTAATTCAAAAGAGCATATTCGATTATGTATACTCAGAAAATGGCGAAAATACAAATTAATTTATTCTCCATAAAGTTGTAATGCCCGCCTTACGTGGGACACGGTGTATAGTAGGTACCTGCATATTGCTGTAAATTTAACACAGGACAAAATTTTTAACTATTTGCTCTAGTTTTGCTGAAGGTAATCTTTAGCCCTCTTTCGGTACATAAATAAGAAGTAAAAATCGTAGAGGCCTGGTTGAAATTATTGAAATTCTACTTTAGAAAGTGGTTATAAGAATGTTAGATAAAATATAGATTGACCTACCTAAATATTTCAGAATTCATCATATTTCCGGTTCAATAGGAAGTGAATGAACGAATTAATATTTGTTATTATATGCCTATTAGTTTTAAAACCAAGGAAAGAGTTCAATATGATCTATAAGCAAAAAAATAACAATGATAAAGTTAAGTTGGATTAGTCCAAAACATTGTTAATAAAATGTATAAAATCTTAAATATAATAATATAAAAGTTACGGGGGTTAGTCAAAAACATTGTTAATAAAATGTTACATTATATAACTTTAAATAACTCGAAAACCGTTCATTTTATAAAAAGATCTATATAGGGTCATGGCACTACTTATGGCCACTACCCTACATAGGGCCATTTATTGCTTTAAGACCTAAAAATAAACGTTTGGCAACATTGTAAAATAAAATGGTGATTAGAGAAGATAAATGAGCATGTGGTTATATGATTGGGCAGGTTTGCAACTAACAAACCAAGCCCATTGAAAATCAGTAAAATAATTAGTTAGCATGTGTAATACATGTAAGCATTACCTACTTGTTGTTTTAGCTAAGAATTTATCTGTAAACATTGGAAGAAAACTCAGATTTATTAAAGATATTTTTTAAAATGTTCCATTCCAAATGTAAGTAAATGTTAATACCTAATGTAATTTGTTTTCAACATTCTATATTTTTTTAAATAAAAATAAATATCAGTGTGGCCACTAGTAATGACAAGAAATTAAGAATTCGTGAGTTATGGTCTCAAGAGTGGCTAAAAGTAAAATCTCATATTTTACTTATGGCCACCGCAGTTATTGTGTGGGTGGTGGGAGTTACTTGGTTTTTTAGCTAAGAAGATGAAATATCACTGGCACCTGACAGCAGTGACAGTTTCTCAGATATAGAACCAGCTTAAAAATCACAATAAAAACTACATTTGGATATATATTGAAAATGAGATTTCCACTGTTTCCATATCTGATATTTTAGGACTGTTAACTGAGCATTCTCTAGTCAAGATTGAAAATTGGTTATAACATTTTTAGGAAGAGTTAAGGTACCATTTGGAAAGGCGAAACCGATACCGTTTTCAAGTGACAGGCAGCAAGCAGCAAATCCTATCGTACTAAAAGCGCTGCCGCCGGTCTGGTTATATTCATTCAGAAGTATCTAAGCCTGTCAGTTCCAAGAGATTATTCCAATTATCGGTTCTTTTACTGCCCAATTCTTTTTTAATCTCTCCTAATATTATGTTACTGCTGATACCGCAGAACAGCTCAGGTCCCACAAAGGGTGCTCGAGCCCCTTTCCTTGCGATAATTTTTGCAATCTCGTTACCCTGTATCCCGTTATGTGCCGGACCCAAGGGAGAGTAACTCTATTTTTTTTGTCTAGCTCATTCAAGGCCATTTTTGAGCTGATTACATAAGAGCTCAGCGCTTTGATGGCTGCTTGGCTATCGGACATGGTGATAATCTTTTGTCTACGATACTTTCTCTCAATGTTAAACTGGATATACTTCTCGATAGCGTGAATTTCACTGAAACATGCTCATTTATACAGTTAGCAGACAAGCAATACTCACCCTATGGAGAGACCACGAATTTATTTCGGATTAGTACTAGAATGTCACGAAGCTTTGGCCGAAGTATCCATTAACAATGTGGTCACCATAAGATGTATCAAAGGTCACGCCATATCGAATGGTAACCGTCTTGCTGATTCACTTGTCAAGATGGCAGCCAACCAAATACTTTTTGGACCTGGCCCTTCTATTGTACTGACATCGGTAGTGATAGGTCTAATTAAGGAACATTTCCTTGTAAAATTTAAGGGAAGATGGGATAAAACAAGAAGCTGCAGATTTTTCAGGGAGCTTTTAAGTTATCCTGACAACACTACAGCGAACAAATACTTGACTATGACTAGACAGATCACAGGTATTCTGACTGGACATTGCCAACTAAGGAAGCATCTCCATATCATGGGGCTGTCAGAATCTGCACTCTGCAGAGGAGGCGAACAAGAAAATAAGACCATAGAGCATATCCTCCCATTTATAAGAAGATTTGTGTTCGGCGAGAATTGGTTAATACCTTCCGATATAAGAAAAGCACCTCTTGGCGACGTTGTCAACTACATTAAATTGACTCACGAGCTAGGAGGTGTCTATCTACTTAGGAGGATGCACAAAGGAGCTAATGAGGCCTAAGTGCCGTATGTTAATCCACCCTCCACACGTTACAGATACAGATCTGCTGTTTTATCTGACAAATGTTGGTTTCCCCCTGTGTTGTGCACTATCATATCCATTTTGGTCAGGTACTCGCCTCTTTTATCCAGGAATGGGGAACCCCTTTGTGGCGACATGACGTTTCTATCAAATATATTTTCGATCAATTTTTTTTTCGAATAATTTTCTGTTCGATTATTTTTCTTTTCAATCAATTCTTATTCGATATATTGTTTTTCGATCAAATGCCGATCAAATATTTTCTATCAAATGTATTCGATCAATTTTGTGTCGCTCGAAATAGCCGACATAATTGATTCTAGGAGGGTTGCAAGAATTTTGTTACTTGTAAATGGGTCGCGTATTCAGTAAGGTTAAAAAACAGTGCTGTAATGAAACAATGTCTTCTTAATCTTTATAAAGATAAAGTACAATCTTGGTAACATAATCTATTAGAAATTTTAGAAAATTTTTGTTAAATTTTTGTGTCAGTTTCTAGAAACTAGTAATTTTTCATAAAATATATTATATTTTCTAGACTTGTCAACGCCGCAACGTATTTAAAAAAATTAGTTATAAAGTCTATTAAAGATAGAGTCGTTTACAAAAATTATCTCAGGTAACCTACTTATATTCTTAAAGCATAAAATTTTCTTTTCTTTGTTATAGACAGTACCGGTAATCCACTTTCCAAACATGGACCATAATGTTCCAGAATCAAGAATCCATCATGCCCATGATAATCCGGTTTTCGAATCTCCCAGTAGAAAAATTTCTACATCGTCAGAACATGCTGAAATTGGACCTGTCAGAAAAAAAAGTATATTACACAAGCATAGCGATCTAGACATGACTAGTAATTCGGGAAAAAGCGGTAAGATGATATTTTTTTTCTACCACCTCGTGACATCTTATTTGAAAGCTTAGAAAATGTTCTTACTGGACATTATCCTAAGTAAATCAAAATAAATTTACGTCATCTAATAGGAGTTATCACATAGATTCCAAAAATTTTTAAATTTAAATCTAAAATTCGAGAGACGCTAAATTTGTGGTTCCTACCTTATCGAGACTGAGGCTCCAAGAAAAAAATAGTAGCATTAAGGGAACGATTTGATTTTGAATGAAAGACGAATAAAAGTAATGAGATGTTGAATTTTAAAATTTTTAAAACATTAGCGTTACTTAGGTTAAAGCAAGTAAATGTTCTCTATATTGTTAGCGCTGATTTTTAAGAATTATTCAATGCCCATTAACCACTTAAGTATGTCTAAGTAAAAATATTTAGTGCCTTTACTCCTTAAGCCTGCACATGTAAAAATATTTAGTCTCTTTACCACTTACTTGAAGGTTAATGCAATGAAGAACTGCGAATGGTTTCAGACAAGAGAACCATGGAGCAAGGGAATAAAATCCTCTTCCAGGCGGACTATGCGCTGTACACGGGGCTCCAAAACTGAAAAATTAGTAGCAGCGGGAGTTTTCGGTCAGGAGCCAGGAGTTAACATATCAATAAACCTGGACTCTCTGACCATGATCTTCCAAGCAGAAATGATTGCTATAGAATATTGCTATAGAAATAATAATTAAAGTAGTGAAAAAGAAAAGGAGAAAATTTATAGAACAACACTATTTCCAGTGGATGAGTGTTGTCTACGGGTGGTTTTGATCAAAAACGGATAATTAGGCAAAGTTGTGAGAAATGAGATAAGTCCTATAGAGGATTTCCAGAAGATAAAAAAATACAGACGTCTTAAAGTAGTAGCCAGATGGATCACATTCTGTTTTTAAACTAAAGTAATAGTTTGGTAACTTAGATTTGAGAGTGTAAGGTAAGAATACTAGTCTCCAACAAGAAAAAAATATTCCAAATAATAGGTTGTGTTTCATATTTATCTTTAAAGATGATTCAGGAATTAAATGATTTAAATAAGAGGCAGAATATTCATAACCTTTTTATTGAAAATGTCACATCCTCGATCCATGACGTTTTCTCGTGGTACCAACCTATTATTACCATGTATAATAATACATTGCTACCAACTATTATTACAATATGTAACATCCCCCCTTCTTACTAAAGTAACCCCAAAACTATGAAAATTGTATTCTACATTATTCTTAAAAATCACAACTTAAATAAGAACTTACAACTAAACATTCTTATTTAATTTACAACTAACCATTAAAGTACTAAATATTATGGTTATTGTTTCACGAGACTTTCTTGACATTCTTAACTAACATTATGAAGTAATAATCATTAAATCTTGCTGGTCTACGTACAACACGACCAGACTTTGTGGCAACCCTATCATTTGTATCAACTTGATCTTTGTCCTTCTCTTTGTCAAGATTGTCCCTTATCGTTACAAATTTGACTGTTGTCACTACTTTCACTTTTGCCAACAACCTGTTCATCATTTACTACATTGTCATTTTCTTCATTTTGTTATTAGAATGTTTAAGAAAAGAAGTATTTCTTCTATAAGTGTCTTCATTTTCACTGTGCACTATCATTGACCTAGGTGCTTGATGAGCACCCACTATTTTACCCCTCTCCCAGAAATCTTCTTTTCTTATTTTCCGTAATACATTGTCACCTTTTCTAGAAACAGGCCCATTTTTTTGTGGTCTTATCATAATTTTGTTTAACCTTATTTAAAATTTCCGCGGGTGATTTGTTAATGCCACATAAAGGCGTTGTTCTATATTCTAGTAGAAAATAGACCAATTCATCATCATTTACACACTTTCGTAACATTTGTTTACATATTCACACGGCCTTTTCAGCTAGACCATTGCTTTTAGGATACTTCGAACTTGAAAATATACATTCTATATCATAATCGTTGCACAATTGTCTAAACATTTTGCTATTATAGGGAACATTATCTGACAAAAATTTTTGGGGCAGCCCAAAGACGGCAAAAATCATTTTCAGGCATTACAAAATGTCTTGCTTTGATTTGCTTTTTAATTTATGTAACTCTATCCAATTGCTATAGAAATCAACTAGTACTAGATATGATTGACCTCCATATTCTAATATATCTGATGCTACAACTTCAAAAGGAAGTTTGGGCATCTCATGTTGCAATAATGGCTCCTTAACATTATTTCTACTAAACTTCTCACACACTCTACAGTGTGCAACAAACCTCTCAATATCTAAAGTCATACCTGGCCAATAGAACAACTTTCTTGCCCTATTTTTAGTTTTTTCAATACCCGCATGTGTTTTATGTAACTGCTGTAACATGTGGCAATTTTTGGGAATACAAATTCGATTATTATAAAGGATCATTCCATTTTTAAAAATTATCTCATCTTTGATTTTATAGTATTTTTATATCTCTCCGTCTTCTACTACTCTATCAGGCCAACCTTGTACACTATATTTTTGAATAATCCTAAAACTATTATCAGATTTTGTTTTCCTCTTTATGTCCTTATTAGATATTGGATATTCAACTTCTAAGCAATGTAAAATTTTTAACATTTTTGGATCGTCCGCAACTTTATTTTTAATATATGACCGACTGAGTAAATCAGCTATGTACATTCGATAACCTGGTAGGTATTCAATGACAAAATTATATTTTGAAACTTTTAACCTCATTCTTTGTAACCTACTAGTAATTTTGTCAATTCCTTTCATTTGAATCCCTATTAATGGCTGTACGATCACTTTCCTACCATAAACAAACTGATGAAATTTATTAAGCGCATAACATATTACTAAATACTCTTTTTCAATCTGAACACACCCTCCCAATCCATTTTGACTACTATCACACTGAACTATAATCGGTTTGCTTGAATCAAATATTTTAAGTATGGGCAAATTGGTTACAACCTTTTTTAACTTTTGAAATGAATAATCAACTGTACACACAAATTCAACATTATGTTTAACTAGTTTTCTCATAGGTGCTACAATTTTTGCCAGCACTAGCATATACTTTGTCAAATAATTTTCCATATCCAATATTTTCATTACCTCTTTTTTATTATTAGGTGTCTCTAGTACCACTATCGCTTCTATGTATATTTTATCAGGTTTAACTCCTTCCCCAGAATAGATTTGTCCCAAATATTTAACTTCTTTGTACTGTACTTTGTACTTTATACTGTACATTTGTTTCAATAAACTGTAACATAATGTCTAGCCCATTGTGAAACCTTTGCCAATAACTCATCATGCTCCCTCTCACTCTTTGCCGGAATAATTTGAAATAGGATGTCTGTCTAGATAAATATTTTGGTTTAGATACATTAGACCAAGACAAAGTCGCAGTGATCCATTGTTAACCCATTCTGTCGGTTCATCTACTTTTTCAATTATATTTCTTTTGACTAAACTATCTAATATTACCTGTAACTTTGACTTAACTGTATCTGGTAATCTTCTACAACTACTTATTTTTAGCCTCAGTCAGTATATGTCTTTCATCTGTGACTGCCTCACCAACTTTCACAACTAGATTTAACTTACTACAAGTATTTAAACTTAAAATGGGCTTGCTTTCAAGGTTTAAAACTACAAATTTCAACTTAACTTCAACTAACTTAACAAAACACTTCAAACTAATATACCCTAGCGCAACTATCATGTTTCCTCCATACCCTTCTATTTTTTGACTGGTTCATATTATTTCCTTTTCTTTTTTAAGCTGTTTAACATACCTTAAAGGTAATACATTGCACTGTGCCCCTATAATATCTATCTTAAATTCTAATATTTCATTCTCTATAACAACTATTTGTTCCCACTCTTTTAACTTACTGTTATTACTCTCTAGCTTATCTAAAGAAATTGTTTCTATAAAAAGCTCATTTTCATTATCACCTTCATCAATGATTTCATTTACTGACCTTCTTACTATCTGTCTTTGACTTCCTCTATTATTATTATTATTATATGCAAGTGCAAAATACCCGAGTTCACCACATTTACTACACTTTTTGCCATGTGTCTTTTTCCACACCTCCAAAAGTCGAATGATTTATTATTTTCTCTTCTGTTCCAACTTTGAGTTCTTCTTTCGGCCCACTTCTCATTCAGCTGCCTTTTATTCGCTTCTGTGCTCAAAAAAATTTGTTTAGCCATTTCCAGATTTAAATTAGTTTTACTTAGCAACTTTGCTTGCAACTGATCATCATTAACTCCTAGTATCAAGCGATCTCTTGTTGCTCTCCGAAGTTGCAATTCTTTACCAAAACGTTTAATGTTTTTATATAACTTTCAATGCTTTCTCCTGCTTGTGCCTTCGAGAAAAACACAAACCTATTATATGTTTCATTTGACCTTGGTTTACAATAACTATCAAATGCTTACACTACTTTTCGATATTGTTTTTTTGTTTTCTTCACTTAAGTTTAGCGTATTAAAAACATCTAGGGCTTCTTCTACTGCTCGTCCGTCTTGCATTCAAGACTGGCCGCTACTATGTATATCTCGAACTTTTGTTTACATTTTTCATAGTTTTCACTTAAATTTTGGTCAAATACTATTGGACTTGGCTGTTTGAAATCAATTTTTTTTTCTTTTTGACCTCACTTCTTTTATCGTTTGTAGACTTCTCCAATAATGTATCTCAGCTATTAACTGGCTCCTTTTTTTTACTTTTGACACTTTGTTTCATATTTATCTTTGAAGATGATTCAGGAATTAAATTATTTAAATAAGAGGCAGAATCTTCATAACCTTTTTATTATTACCATGTATAATAATCATAGATATATAACCAAGACAGATAGGATTATTTACAAAATTTTTAAAGAATGAACGGTGGTGTCCGCGGTAGAAACTCAATAATCGGATTGAACATTGATGCCAAGATTACGTGCTTTTAACTATAGATATATATAACCAATACAGGTTACACAATTTCTGAAGTCAACGCGGATGATCCTCGACAGAAATGCAATATTTGGATAAAATTAAAATATTGATGCCAAGTTTGCGATGTTTTTAACTGTAGTAATGTTATTGCGTTTGCTTGAATTACTGTTAGGTCTTTAAATTGTCCAAAAAATAAAAAATAATGTCTGACATCAGCGGAAGTAGAGTAGACCGCAATTGTGGAGGGTCGTATATTGTTTCATTCATAAAAATTCCTTCGATACACTACTAGTGCAGGAGCCAGTGAATTTTTTCGTATTTGTTTTCCCGGTCCGTGTATATTTAAATAATCTATTACCGGTGAACTGTATATTCAAAATGGAACGCCAATCTATTAACAAAAGTAAGCCAGATTGAATTCGCGCATTACGTCACATCGATACAAGTGAGATTGTTTACAAAGTACCTTTGCAGGCCTATTTTGCCCATTTCATGTATTTGTTTTTAAATCATGTTAAATTACTATTTTTGAAACTCAACAAGGAGAAAATCCAATTAACTCTTCCGTTGTGTATATATATAAGATAAATTAACTGAAGTTTTATTGGTAAAGTATTAATACTAAAATTTTAATGTAATTTACAGAAAATAGCTAGGTATGTATTTGTTTTTAAATAATTTGATAATTTATGAAAAAAGGGAGTAAAAGTGGAATGACCAGTGGCCAGTAGGTCAGTAATAGCTGGTACAGCATGTTTTTTAAACGTTTCCTCATTGCTGCTAGAATGAAATCACTTACTATGAAATGTGCTCTAAAAACGTCATTTATAACAGTCAGTGTTCAGTCTTAGGATCTCTTCCTAAAGCCCTCATCCAAGCTGCATACATATTAAAAAATAATTAAAAAAAACAACATATTATATACCTATATAGTTTTCGGTTCTGGGTGCCCTAAAAGAGGACACTTAGCCGACAATTTGGCTCAGATAGCTAAAACCCAAAAGTCACACCCCGAACCAGGACATATTGCTATCCTTTTAAGTAAAAAATAACTACAAATAACTTACCTGAAAAATGAAGGCGTCTAACTTTACACCAAAAAAACCTTACACTTTTTCCCATTGTTGCAAGCACCCGATGACGATTAGGTAGATATCAACTAGAAGCATGTATTTAATGGTTATAAAGCTTATTTTAACACAAAAAGAATAAAGCACTAGTCGAAAAGCAGCAATCAAATATAAATAGACCACAATATTAAAATTCAAATTAAAAACTATATAAAAGACAAATACTCTAAAAGCGCAAAAGATCAGAACCAAATAAAATGAATAACCATAATAACCTAAAAATCACACTAAAATTGCAAAAACTATTACTGTAAAATCATGAGATTACATCAATAATGCATATACGTCGGAGTATCGCAAATGTCAAAAGTACAGTGTTTCCATGAAAATTTAGCTATGTTTTAGCAGTATTATAGGACCATTTCTACCACGCGCATCCAACGATATTGGCGTTCCACAGTTCACTGTATTTTCCTCACACCTCTAGTATAAATGCTTTGACATAACAAAACTAACAATAATTATAATTAATGTAGTAATAAGTGATTCGTGAATTCTAAATAAAACAATTATTATATAAAAGTGTAAAAGGAAATCTAATTTATTTCCCTATTTTTTTCTGTAATATCTTCAATTATTATGTTTAATTTCTATAAATAAACCAACTGGTTAGGTGAAACATTGTGATATAAGATTTTATTTATGTGTCCTATGCGTACACTTTAATATACAAAACACCTGGAACATTCTTTAAATAATTGTGGTCGTAGAAATAATTGTGTACATAACTCGTTTGAAAGTGTATTTTATGCACTTGCCAAATATATTATCCATACAGATTAATCAGACTATTTTTTTACTTAACTTCAGTACATCTCTTACTACTAAAACTATTTTTATCAATGGAAAAAAAGGGCCGTGTTCTCGTATGTTTTGACGCATTTTCGGCCTCAGCCCATCGGATCCCCCTCTAAATATATATGAATTTTGCTTAGAATTGCTAATCCTACAATTCTCTATTCGTGCTTGCTGACTGGGAAAATAAATACCGAAAATCGTCACTGTCTCCTGGACTATACAATAGATGATGATGAGAACTTCACAACAAATACACTTTTATGAATGGCTAGTTGGGGATGTGATAATAATACATTGCTACTAACTATTATTACAATATGTAACAGGTTGGGAATATAGGAGAAAACTAAGGGTGGGGTAGGGAACTCCAAAACGTAAAAAGTGATAGACCTTCCATGGGAAGAGAAATAGCATCTGTTGCCGTAAACAGGATGGTTATTATCACAAAACTTTGTGAAAATTTGTACGTGATACAGTGGACACTATTTTTCAAGATCGTGGAGAAATTAAAGGTGGGGTATGAATTCGTTCTCGTCAGCAGAGATGCAATACTGAGATCCCATAAATAGGGGACCTAATAATGAAATTAAAAAGTGATTTTCGATATTTTGAGATATACAAAAATATTTTTTTTAAATAAATTTTCTATAAAATTAGATTTAAAATTCGCGTTTGATCTCTGTTATTGAAAAATGCCTCAAAACTGTTTCTATACTATTGATTTCTATTTCCAACAATTCCTATTTTTCCACTATTTAGTAACCCATGACAAGAAAATAAAATGAATTTGTCGGCATGCAATCTCTGGCTATAAATCTCTTTAATTGCCAATAAAAATGTAATCGTTCATCATTGCTATTCAGTTTTTATCGATTTCAGATACAGGAAAACAAATCAACGGAGATCTAAAATATAAAAAACATTCAGTAACGGATTCTGTTTACTCAAGGACCAGATTTGCAGACAGCTGTAACGATGATCGGTGAGGAAATATTTTTATTATATCGATTTTGTTTTATTAATTGGAAACTTTCCATAGGTGTGTATTTATTTACTAGTCAAACTATTAAGTGGAAAAATAATACATTTATACTGGGTGTTTGAAAAGTTGGGACTTTATTTTTAATATGTCTTTATTTAAATAAAGGTAAACCTTACGTATATCCTTTCTCCATCAATCCCCTTTCTTTTAATAAAATATATACTTGAACAAGTGTATTTTGCAACATACAATTATTTATTTAGAAAACAATCGAATAGAAATGATGATACATTATTTTTAATAAAATATATCATCAGTCATGAATCCTTATTCAATAGTATAAAGTCATCGATTTCAGAATGTACACAGAATGCGTACTAAATTCGGCCGTCCTGAATGAAAATTGTCTTCAATTATTTGTAGAAATCAATTTTTTAATTTGCGACTTCAACAGGTAGTCTGACTTTGCCCAGAATGAGTCCTTAGCGACTGAAAAAGCCTTAACGGTGTTTTTGTTCTTTGCTGCATTTTGATCTTTTGCGTCTGCTTTGCTCTTGACGACTGATATTGAATTTACATTTACATGCAATTTTGAGTAATATCAACAAACTACAAAATTTGTCCTTTGGAACAAATATTAAGTAGCTGTTGCAGCAGTTTTGAAAAAACGTTTTATATAATCCACTCCTACGACCGATTCAGCATGATCTGCTATTTCTGTCATAGTGCATGTATTCCTCGACTTTGTACCTGTCGTTTTCCAAGATGTCTACTACTCGAAAAAAGTTTTTCGCATCCGTTATTAGATGAAACAAGATATCCAATTTACCTGCAGCTTTCCTTTTTTTATCGAATTGCTTATTCTGGGTTGATCGATTATCCAATGCTGTGCTTGTCTTGGTTCTGAGAGCAGTAACATCTATCGGCTGACTTGCTTCTTGCATATTGTGTTTGTTTTCATCCATTTATAAATGATATCCAGATAGTAATTTCGTGGGTGTTGTTGCAATGACTTTGCTGCTTTGCTACTTTTTATATCATGCTAATTTTTAGTAAGGTTTGAGTACCAGTCTTCTTTCTTTGTACTAGATGCTGTAGTAGACAATTAATTAATGATTACGTTGTTTATACGTTCCATCTGACCATTTCTACGAGCTATTTCACCATCTGTTATAAACAGTTTGATATTTATATTTATATTTTATATTTGAAATTTAAGTACAGTTTGGCATTATAATATAAACGATCGTCAAAATAGATTTTTTAAAACTCGAATTTTAAGGAGGTGAAAACACCCCTTAAATATTATTATATTTGGAAACCAGTTCCATAGAAACAAGGCGATATTTGCACAAAAATGTAGGCCGTCCGTTTATTTAAATAAAGCCATTTTCCAATGGAAATTGATTCTAAAGAGCTCAAACGAAAGGCATCAGAAAAAAATAAACCAATTTTTAGCTGATGTGTTTGTATTGACATTGAGAAGATACCCACTATTTCCTGTAGTCACTATATTTGTCTGCCTTGGAGCCAGCAACCGTGAAATATATTTGCAACCAATTATTTATAACAATGTGGGTAAATTGTGGGGTTAACGCATTACCGGGACTTCGTGCATTGTCAGGGGTAGATATTACAGGAGTTTAAAGGAGAAAATCTAAATTAGCTTCTGGAAAACATTCTTGGAGTTACCTATATAAACTCTAGCTTTGACTTCATGGGGAAAAGACACTGAATTAAATAATTCTTTTTTAAGGGAATTGAATTTTTTATTTCTTTATTGTACTCCCCAAGTAAAAAAAATAAACACCTTGCTGGTTTGTGACAGAAAATCAAAGTGCCTGTAAAAATCTTCCTCCAACATGGGAAGCCCTTAGACCCGCAATACAAAGGTGCCACCATTACTGTATGGACTTGTATCGCGATACTCTTTCAAACCCTAGTTTACCATCGCGATCGGTCACAAACTATGGATAGAAATCAGAGATAACAGGAGACGTAACTACTAACAAATTAAAATATCGTGCAGTCCTGAATAAGACATATTCTAAGGGACACAGGAGAGTATAATATCCGCTGTTGTCACTAGCCTATTTTATTATTCTCGTTTTGTTTACAAAATTATTTACATATTATATAAAAGAAGCTAAAATAATTCGACCTATTTCATTGATACTTAACCCAAAAATTTTGAATTATTAGTTATAATAAATTTAACTAAATTAAATGTAATTTCTCTAAATTAAATGTAATAATTTTCAATAAATTAAAAAACCTAGTAATCGTAAGTTGGAAGTAGTAACAGGACACCGTTATGCTGTTTATTATAAGCGCATATCGTTTACATCCTGGCTTACACAATGGCTGCGGTAAATAAAAGCAAGCATTGGCTTTTACCTACTAATTTTTAAGCGAATACTTGCTAGTAAGTAAATAATAAACGGCTTTACTTACGCTCACGAAGCAAAAACTTGCAAATTCTAGTTATTTCTTTTTTAGCAAGTAATGCCTCAAAATAATAAGTATTTACTTTTTCTGAAGAGAATAAAAGCAAACAAATACTTTTCTTATAAAGTAAATACTCTAATTTTTGCAAGGTTGATATGAAGTGGCCTTACAGTAAATGTGATACCTTCTAAGTGTTTAAATTATGGCAGCATTCATGAATATTCGCAAAGTTAAACAATATCGCGGCCGTAGAGATGTAAGCCCAAACAGCGTGAAACGTCTTCTAAGATTTGAAACTGAAAATGTCGATTTCATTACGGACTATTTTCTACCAAACAGTAACGAAACTCGAGGCGGTGCTCTCGCTCCAAGAAAGCAAATGGAAATATTTCTCCGGTATATAAGTGACCCTGGCTTCCAAAGCGGTGTTGCAAATGACTTTGGTATTAAAAGAACAACTGTTTGTAAGACTGTGGACTATGTTGCACAAAAAATTACGGAGAAGGCAGATCAATGGATAGTTTTCCCTTCATCTGAACTGGATTTAAATGAGGCAAAGACAATGTGGCAGACAACATACAGAATTCCTACAGTAATTAGTGCACTTGATTGTACCCACATAGTTATTAAAAAGTCCACACAGTTTGGGCATGACTATATAAATAGAAAAATTCTCATACGTTAAATATTCAGATGACAATTGATGCAAAGGAAAGAATAACAAGTGTTGATGCCCAATGGCCTGGCAGTATACACGATAGTATAATTTGGTGACAAAGTTCAGTTCAGCAAACGCTTGCAAGATTTAACGGAAGTGCTTGTTTGCTGGGGGACAGTAGATATGGTATTTCATCGTAGCCCTTAATATCATTTAGGCAACCTCAAAATGAATTGGAACAGCGATACAACACATTACATTCGAAGGAAAGAGCAGTCATAGAACGTGTGTTTGATCAGTTGAAACAGCGTTTTCCAATACTTGCTTGCAAATAGGGTAAGAATCACTCTCATAAAAATACTGCAAATAATAGTATGTTGTGCTGTTCTGCACAACATTGCTAAGCACCTGATTCATGGATTTGTTTTTGGAGATGAAAATGAAATTAGTCAAAACGAGGAAACAAAAGAAGAAGTAGTCATGAGCAAGAGGATATTCGACGTCTTGGTGAAGAAAAATGCTCAGAAATAGTTGAAATACTCAATCAGTTACAGTTACTCTGAAACAGTATAAATGAAGGTTTATTATTTTTAAGTAAAATATAAAGGGTAAATAAAACATGTAAAGTTATTTTTTTATTTTTTTGAATACCTGCTGCATTTACAACATATTCTTAAATAGCAAAACATATTTCTGTATATATTTTTATTATTTTTTATGACATGGAACTTCGTAATAATATTAGGTAAATTTTTTCACGGTTTACTTTAGCGTATATAATCTTGAATATTAAATTCCTTATTGGCATAATCATCATTTACCTCTGTAACTTGTTGCTGGCGTAAACCTTTTAGCTGTAGTTCCTCCTTTTCAATTTGAAGCCTTGTCAGTATAAGCTGTTCCAGTAACACTAAGCGTTGAAGCTCCGAAATTGATAGGTTTCAGCAGCTAACAACCTCTGTTTTTTGGAAACATTACCATTGAAACTTGTGGGCTACTCCATTTTCTCTCTCGCGTGTTGTAATGTTCGTCATGACTTAACTTCCGCTTATAATAGTAGTTTCGCTTTTATTTTGCAGTACGGATAAAATACCAAATTTTCTGGTGTCTGTACCAAATGCGACAGCTCCAGGAATTTTAGCGAAAAAAGGGTTTTCTTCGGCGTTTAGCATTACTAGAAGAAATTATTTTTCCCATTGCAGTAGCTTAATGGGTTTATTTCCTGTGGCAAATAAATCAGTTTTTTCTTAACTATGCTTTTCATATATTATTAAGTAACTTTTCCAAATGATCAACAGTTATACATTTTCCTGTGTGTTTTAAAAATTCATTTTTGATTGCTTTCCACGCATTTTTATTTGCCGCAACCATTAAAATAATGCTAACCAAATGTGATCTGTTATCCGAAATATATTTTGGTTTTTCAGTGTCTTCGTCACTGGATGACATCGTAAGTAACTACTAAAACCGCTCTCAATCAGAAAACTAAATAAGCAACCTTTTAAACACGCGTGTAGTACTAGGTATATAAAGGTAAATATTCACAATGAACGGCGTTCGAATGTGAATAAAAATAAACAAGTTAATACTTGCAAATAAAAACCTCATTTTGTATACAAGTAAACTTTTGTAAGAATTGCCTTAGTTTTATTCACCTAACAAGTGTTTACTTCTACTTTTAAGATAAAACTTTACTCACAAGTAAATGCTTATAAATTCTTATTTATTTTTATTCAACTCACCCATTTATTCATTGATAAAATAAGGTTGTATCTGCGAAAAATATTTCTCTTTATCCCCTCTCTTACTTATCATCTTTCGTCTTTTCATCGCGGACCTATAAATAGAGTGTTATGATTGTCGACTTAATCTTGGCATCGTGAATGTGATATTT